CAAGAAGCAATTTAAATACGTTCAGGGACCATTTTCATCTCCAGAATTAAGGATTATTTTAATGTTACATCATTGCCTTTTCTCTTTTACTTTCCTTTTTAGTTTTATTTTAGGATTCCCTATTTTTAATGTTCATACAGAGATTTCTTTAACTGAAATACCGAATATTTTGTTTTGTGTGAAAAACTATAACAGTACACAGGATCCTAATGAGATAATTAATAATGTGAAATAGGAAGTAAAGGACCAAATAAAGGTGTAGGGAAAGTGGGAAGGGTGGGGGAAAAGTAATAAGGGAGAGGAAAAAAAATATGAGAAACTGAAAAAATGGAAATAAAGTGTTTATAAATGGGGAGGGGAGGAGGGGGTGAAGGGAGGGCAGGGAACTATAACAGTACACAGGATCCTAATGAGATAATTAATAATGTGAAATAGGAAGTAAAGGACCAAATAAAGGTGTAGGGAAAGTGGGAAGGGTGGGGGAAAAGTAATAAGGGAGAGGAAAAAAAATATGAGAAACTGAAAAAATGGAAATAAAGTGTTTATAAATGGGGAGGGGAGGAGGGGGTGAAGGGAGGGCAGGGACAAGGGGAAAAAATGAGAATCAAGACCTATTATGTAAAGGTACAGAATCCCAATGATAAATGTAACTGTAATGTATACATAGATTGTACCAATAAACTCAATAAAAAGAAAAAAAAAAGAAAATGGTTCAGCAATCCTTGTATGAGTTAGCAAAATTTCTGAAAATTAACAAAATTTCAATTCAACTGTACTTTTACATTAAAGGAAATTAGTGGCATTTTTTGATAAATTCAATATATTTCTATCTGGTGTGGTAGCACATCCCTATAATCTCAGCACTCTGGAAGGTTGAAACAAGAAGACTGCAAGTTTAAGCCTCATTTGGGCTTAAATTTAGTGCGACTGTCCCAAAACATTTTTTTTTTAAAGGAGATGGCAAACAGCATGATACTGGCACAAAGACAGACATTTTGATCAATGAAACAGAACAGAGGATGCAGAAACAAACCCAGGCAGATTCAGTCATCTGATCTATGATAAAAGTTCCAAAATTGTATACTGGAGGAAAGTTAAGACCTTTTAACAAATGGTGCTAGGAAAACTGGTTACACACATGCAAAAGATTAAATTTAGGCCCATATCTATCATCATATAATAATGTAAAATCAAAATGGATTAAAAACCTGAATATTAAAATAGAAACAATCTGCTGGAAGATAAAATAGGTAAAGCTTTGGAAGACATAGGCTTAGGTACAGATTTTTTTTAAACAGAACCCTAACTGCATAAGAAATAACATCGAGATTCAACATGGGACTATAACAAATTAAATAGCTTTGCATAGCAAAGCAAAACAACCAAAAGAATAAAAAGATAACCTATAGAATGCAAAAAAATCTTTTGTCAGCTATTCTTCAGACCGAAGACTAGTATCTAGAATATATAAAGAACTAAAACAAAAAAACACCTCCAATAAAAGACTCAACCAAAAAATAGACAACTGAAATAGACATTTCTCAGAAGTACAAATGGCCAACAAATACATAAAAAATGTTCATTATCTCTGGCCATATTATTTGGTGCAGGTATGTGATATAAAGTCAAAACTACCTCTTACAGACATGAATTTAAAGACAAACATTTGTTATTAGAAGGGAAACTGGAAAATATTTCCTGCAGTGTATCACCTTACCAGGTCTTTCCTTTCCAGTGCCTTTTAACTCAGCAAATTTCTGTATCAAACTTTCAACTGTAGTATTAGCCATGTTATTTATAAATTCTTCATGCACCTATTAAACCAGAATAAAGATAATATTTTCCACAAATATTTTTAGTCTACTTCAGATAAAAGTAATTAAACATTTTGGATGCAAGGGTAGTTGGGAACTTTCATTTCCATAGTTAACATGCTGTTACCTAACTCACAGTGTTATCAGGGCTGTGTGAGGAACAACCACTGCTTACTTACCTTCATCCCTTAAGATATGGCCTCACAGCCTTTGAAGTCAAGACAGTTTCCTGTTCCCTTCTCTTAAGTGTTTTAGAAACAAAATTCTTATAATTAAAACTTGTAAAGACAATAAAAATAGTCTTAAGACTTCACCTTTCTGTAATGAATTTCAATGCACCCCAAGCTGTCATAAACTTCTTTTAAATTTCTAGTACATTACAAAATTTAAATTCTTTTACTAAAGTATCTGTCCTAAACTTACAAACAGTAAAACTTGAAAAAGGAAATATTCAAAATTAGTAACTTCAAAATTTTAATGTAAAGTAGAATGAACATAGTTAATTTTAAAAGGCAGTATGAATTTCATGATTGGTGGCCAAATAAAAAAATACACATTCTTTAACTGAAATAATTCATAATCATATCTATGAGTTTTAGGCAGAATGATAAAATATTTATAAAAAGCCATAAATATAAAAAATTTCATGAATCAATTCAGCATAAATAAAAAACTTACCTGCCCTATCTGTAAATGAATTTCTTTCACTGCATTTGACAAGGACTCTATAATTTCCTTTATGTGAATGAGATGAGTTTCTTCAATATCTTGAAATTTCTGGGTACCAAATATATAAAGTTATATACCTACTATATATAAATACAAATATACATTTTGTAACCAAAAAGTTTTAGAAAGCACTTCAATATAGATAAACAAATAAAGCAAGTTACCATTACATAAGATTTAATGATGCCTTTAGACAAATAGTTCTAGCAAATATACTGAAATACAGCTAAGTTAAATTTTCATTATGGCATTTGCTAAAGAACTATGAACTTTTTTAGAATTTGAAGATACAAGTTAATAATTATGATTAAAGCAAAAAATTAATTAATCCAGATGAAAATAGAGGTCCCAAAGCCAAAGAAGTTTCCAAAACTTTAAAAAAAAATTAGCTTTTGAAGACTTCACAATCTGTCAAATATTCTAAAATGACTTTTGAACCTCTGAAATGTTAATACAATCTCCAAAAGAGGTAATCTATGTTCAAAGAAATTTGGGAGAGCCTGTGCACTGTACCTCAGCAGTTTTCAATGGAAGGTAAGAATATATCAGATGAGTAGGGAATGCTTTGAAATGTTTGCAACAAAATATATAGATCCTCTAGTATCACATGGTAAATGGAAGTTAAATGAGGTGAGACTGTTGTGCAAAAAAATTTCCCAGTTATTCTAATATTTATTTCCTAGACAGAAAACCACTGTTAGCCTTGGCTTCATAATAAACCTATTAAAAATAGAAACACTGAAATAAAACTTGTTTAATTTTGCTTCACCCAGCATTTTCTCGATTTCTTTGACCTCGCAATCTTTTTTGTTTTTCTTTTTCCCTAAACATTAATATCTCACAGAACACTCTCAAAACAGGGTCTAAGAAATGCTGAGCAACCTAGTTTCAAACAAGATAATTTGTCATTTTCTACTGTACAAACCTGATTATCCTTTTTTGGGGGGGGGGCGGTCAAGTTAAATCACTTCTAAGCAATCTGCCTACCTGCCTTATTTTTCCAGTTAGCTTGTCAAATTAGTTTCCCTTACCTATTTAATGTCCACATTTCTTCAGCACTGAATTAATGATCAGAAATTCCTAAGCCAAATGATATCTAAATGTGTGTAAGTGGTATAAATTCCTTAAAAAAATCAGTTATGGCAAAATTACAGCTTTGGCAGCAATATAAGAATAGTCCAAACACTTAAAATCAATTTTATCCATTTAAAACGGTGACTGTCAGTGATTAATTTTGACCAAGCCCAAGAGAGTAAAAGTATTTTAAGATCTGGACTTTTCTCAAGAACTGAAGAATATTCAGAATTGAAAACTATCCAGGAAGTTGATTTGTCTAAGTTCATATTATAAGTAATGGTCCTCAACATAAATTTCAACAATTTAATGAACAAGATATTTCCATAAAACAGGTAGAATTTTAATACAGTAAAACTGGGTCATACTCCCAATAATTTTATATGATCACTAACTCCATTTGAAATAGCTATACCAAATAAGGTAAGTTCTTAATTAAAAATATCTTGAAGCATGACTCTATATAGAATTCAAAGCATGATTCAGACACAATTTTGAAATCGTGGGAGTATTTTTGGAGAGGAGGGCATTGACACAATTGCTCAAAATTAACAACTACTAAACACACTACTTCAGCAATGGAAAGTAAGGAGTAAATACTGCCTCAAGTGTTTAAGCATAAATAAATGAACTAATCAGATAGTTTTTTCCTCTTTTCAAGTTTAAACTGTTCACATATACCATTATTAATTTAAAAAACTGTCAGCCACTAAGACATATAAAAGTAATCCTAAAACTCCTTATCTGAGAGTTACTTAGCAAATCTGAAAGTTTCTAAGGAGCCAACTCATACTCTCTTTCAAATTTTTTCAAGTGTCCTATGAGCTAACAGTGGTAAAACCATGAGCAGAAGAAACAGCTACAATTTCAGTTATTCTTATTTTCAACTCAAATGAAAAACTTAAACTCACAAATACTCTGAGTAAATTCTAACTTTTCTTATTCCAGGGACTCAATTTCTTTCTCACTAGTAAATACAGGTCCTATCACCCAAATTTAATCTTCACTCTACTGTCAGGTTCTTTCCCACTATGATAAGGTTGGCATGGGTGACCTTGAACAAAGGGAAAATGGAGTAGTGAAAAATTCGTTTGATTTCTAAATAACCTGAATTTAAACTTACTTTCTATTTTTTTTTTAAATGTAATCTATTTTCTATTACGAAACAATAGTTCCTGCCGGGCAGTTTTGTGTGTATATGAGAGACAGACAGACAAACACAGAGAAAGGGAGAGAAATAGAGATACAGAAATAGACACAAAGAAAAAAAACAAGAAAACAAGTACCACATTAGCAACATACAGCATGGTCTTTTAAAAGTTTCACATCTATTCAAATAAATTAATATTTTCATCTTGCACATAGCAGAATTTAAAAAAAGATGACAAAAAAATGCCTACTGAAAAATACTTTTGATTTTCTTTCTTTTTTGGTACTGGGGATCAAACTCAGGCCCTTATGCTTGCAAGGCAGGTGTGGCAGAACCACTGAGCCAAATCCCCGGGCTGAAAAATACTTTTTAAAGAGTAACATTAACAAAACAGAAAACGCTGACTCTAGCAAATTCTTATTTTTCTAACTTAACTAATTAATTGCAGAGCAAACACTTTCATTTGTAGAAATGTGAAAATAATTGCCTTATAAATAAGTGCTCTTTGGAAGATCCATAAAGATAGAGAGTAGCTGAGTGGTTTTCCAGATTTGGAGGAGAAGAGATTAGGAGATGACACAGTGGATAGCGTTTTGTTTTGGGATAACAAAAACTATCTAAATTTGTCTGTGGTCATGGCTATACAACTCTGTCAATGTGCAACCTACTGAATGAATCTTAAACAAGTTTGTAGACTATGAGGTATGTGAACTTTAGTTCAATAAAGCTGTTATTTAAAAAAAAAATAAATGAGTGTTCCTAAGGATTTAAAAAGACAACAGCACTGTTAAAGTCTACAATTACCTCATTTGCTACAGAAATTCAAACTTTCTATCTCAGTAGACCTAGAGCCTCATTTGATATTAAACCTTTCTTGAGGCATTGTCTTTTCATAGGTGACTAGACATGACACTTCCCAGTTTCCTTCTTTGTCTGGCTTCTATTTGCATTTCAGCATCTCTTCCTCTACTAAACTACCAGTAATAAGTCTCACAGAGCTTGGTCCTGAAGCCTTTTCTTTCCCACAAAGGTGGGAAAAGGCAAACCAAAGGCAAAGTCATTGCGGCTTTATGTACTGACAACACTTGTTATGGTTTATATCCAGATGTCCCACCAAAAGCCTCATGCACTCAAAGGCAGGGTTTCTAGAAGAAGGTTGGATTAACAAAGCTCTCATTCTTTAAATTTTAGGTGTTGTATATTTTGTCCCCGCAACTAAGATAATGCTCTATTTTAATAGTCTCATAATCTTTTATTCAAAATATTTGAGACTAGGTGTGCTTCCATATACAAATTTTTTTCAGTGTTTAAAGATGCGTATTATAAAAAAAGTATAGTTTATAATACAACCAGCAAGATCTGAAATATCTATTTATCAAACAGATTTATCAAACATTAATACTTCTAAAGAAAAATGTATATATATTCAGTGTAAGTAAGATAAAGACTATAAACAGTTTCACATCAGTTCAGGTCAAGTTTTATAACCTAATGAGTTACGGGGGGAAAAACCTTTCAGTTTCAGAGCTTTGGGGACTCAGAACTGTAAGAGACTATGAATACTACATTCGGCCTACCTGATGCTTCCCAACAGGTACTGCATAAGCATCTCAAAATTAACATGTTCAAAACTGATTATCTCATCCATTCTCTACCCATCACACTAACCATTTTTCAACTATCCAATTCCTCTTTATCCAAATAGACCAATAAGCCAAAATTTGAAAGTGATTTTATCTCCCTCAGATTTTTTCTTACTCAATCCTTGCCATTTCCAATACATTTGCTACTCTTCTCCTCCAAGACAACTATATTGGCCCTTATCACTTATCCAAACTAAACCCCCAATTCACCTTTGGTCCTATTTTTATCTATTCTTCACAAAACTGCCCAAGATTTCTTGCATTCCTATCCTTGCCTAATACCTTAAGGAAACTTCTGGTTGTTCTTAGAAGAAAACCTAAATCCTTACTAAAACCTTTTCCTTGCCTATCTCTTTAACCTTCTCCATTTCTCATTTCTCTCCACCATCTCCCCTATTCTCTCTGTTTTACTCGGTATTTTTCACTTGCTAGAATGCAATGTCTCCTTTACACCCCTAGGGCCTTTATATCCGTGGTTCCAAAGCTTGGAACACTCTTGCCCTTAGTGTCCTACCCTCTGTTCAAGTTTGTTTTAAATGTCACTTCTTCCAAAAGGTCTTTCCTGGCTCCCTAACAAGTTAGGTCACCTCTATTCTATCTTAAGAAAGCACAGTCTTTCTCCTTCGAATATTTTCAGTAATTTATAGCTTTTTTGTTTTTTTGGTTTTTTGAGACAGGGTCTCACTATGTAGTTGACCTGGAATTCACTATGTAGCCCAGGCTGGTCTCGAACTCACAGTGATCCTCCTGCCTCAGCCTCCCGAGTGCTGGGATTTTCTTTTTTTCTTTTTTGAGACAGGGTCTCACTATGTATTTGAGACTGACCTGGAATGTAGCATGTAGCCCAGGCTGGTCTCGAACTCACAGTGATCCTCCTGCCTCAGCCTCCCGAGTGCTGGGATTACAGGCATGCAAATTTATAAACTTTATATTTAAGCAAGTATTTAATGTATACATCAGTACTCTATACTTTAAATTCTATCTAAAGCAAGGAGTTATTTGTGTTGCTTAACATATACATTGTATGTACCAAGCATCTAGCACAGCACCTCCAACATGATAGGAACAAATGGATTCCTGAATAAACATGTATAAGCATGCAAACCTTTTGGTTTCTGAAATGTGAGTCATTTACTTCTTCAAATGAGAAGACAGAAGACTAGAGTTAAAAATATCAGATTTATAAAGTTCTTCTTTCATACTTATTGAATGGCCACCCAAACCGAAAACTATCTTAAAACTGAGACTATGGCAATAAACAAATCAATTCCTGCTCTCACATAACATACACAATGGTGCAGAAGAGCCAATAATGTGTGTAGAGGAGCCAGTGAGCTTCTGTTTCTAGTTCCTCAGATATGAAGAAATTACTAAGCTCATTACTACAGCTGTAGCCCATCACAATGAACAGGCAACACTAAGAAAGAAACCTTTCATATGGTAAGCAACTGAGATTTTGGCGGTGCTTGCCAACTTACCATAAAAATCTGCCCTAATTAATACAAAAAATGAAATTCCTGGTATCAGATAATGATAGGTGCTAAGGAAGAAAATAAAATAAAAAGAGGATAAGAAGGATGGGAGTAGAAATGTTAATTCATCAAAGGCATTCACTTTAAACTAAGTCTTGAACTAGAGTTCTAAAAACATCAAATTAGATATGTTATCCCAAACTTATGAAAGATTTTTTTAACCATCTGTCTTCCCCTAATAAAATGTAAATTCTATGAGAATTGGGTTTTTACAGTATTTTACTTACTGGTACAGACTCAGCACTGAATCATTTTGTTTTCTTCTCAAACAAAAATAAATTTTAAAATCAACACACACTATAACAATATTGTATTTACCATCTACCAATACCTTCATTTTCCTTATTTACATTTCAACATTCTGTTTGGATGTATTTGAATAATTCCTATGACATTATCACTATTGAATCTTGGTCTTCAATCACACAAACAAGATGCAAAATTTTAAAAATACCATTAATAGAACATAAAAATTGTGTCTTAAAATTTCTATACTAAAAAGTTATATGACAGAAAAATCTTATTAGTTTGTGCAAATATAAGTTTTTTGTTTTTTAATCTAAAGCCTTAAAAATACCAACCTGAGCTGTTTCTGTCATTTTCTGTTCAAAATCAGCTTTTGCTAATGCATATTTTTCCACATAGAGTTTATAGGTATCTGTAGCTTTCTTAGATTTAACAGCTGCCTGTAACAGAACAAAAACATTTAACTGCACATTAACCTTTTTTTCCCTATATGTTAATATGAAATAACAAAATGCATTTTAAGAGTTCAATATGACATACAACTAACTTTAATACCTGTGGTCCAGCCTGCCTTAGTCATCTTGGTTTTGTTATGGTCAGATAAGAAACCAGGAATTAAACACTAACTGTTCTTTCTGATGAAATGTACTGTAAAAAATTAAAATACTCCCATTTTTATTACCCAGAGTAAAATTATATAACCACATGATACAGTGTTACTAAGAATATGTTAACACACTGAAAAAATTTCAATGTACAAAAATGTGACAATACTATGAGAATATGTTTTTATATTCTGTACTGGTGAGTCTTTCTTTTCCCCCTACTCCAAACATATACATTAATAGCTGACTAAAGTCCATATATCTAGCTCAAAAGTATTGTGTTTTTTAGTCTCCATCATGTTCCACCAATCCTATGAATTTGTTTTTAATAATCTTTATTTTTCAGGCAAAACTATTTTTAAAATCCTTACTGCAATATTATAGTACTAGTTTTATCAGTGACTTATTCAATAAAAACATATTAAATATGAGGAATATGAAGAAAAATTATAGAGGATTTTCCCTCACGGATTTAATAAAAGAAGAAGAACCTAAATATAAATAGCCATAAATTGGTAGAAAGCAACAAAAGAAGTCAAGATAAATTCTGGGGGTACACACAAGAAGAAAGAAAAGGATGTATAGCTTGTAGGGTGGGATAGACACATGGCTATTGAGAAACATTATATTCTAAAAGGATTGCTTCATTTTGGCCACAGGAAGATTAAACGAGTGAAGAATTGAAATAAATAAGTTTAAAGAAGATCTAAGACAGACCAGCTGAAGAATTTCTAGATATGAAGATTTCCATTTTCCTGAAGAGGCACCAAACCATCTTCTAAGAGTGAGAAATAAGAGAGTAGGCTTGGGTCCTTAATGAGAATAAACAGAATTTTAAACCATGAGGTAAAGGACACAACAGGTAATATGACTGGGCAATTAAAAATACTGCTAAATAGAAAGAAAATATTATTGAGCCAAGTAAAGCTGGAAACTAAGAAACTGGTGTACAGTTGATCAGTACTAATATATAAGTATCTCCACTTGTGATCAGGGAGTCTTAGAACAAGAACTGGAAGCAGAACATTGCGTTTAACCTGAAGCTTGAGACTGGCAAGAATATATATACTCTCTAAACAGGAAATTTTGTAACTTCTCTAAAATATTTAAGTATAATTTTAACTATTTTCCTATCTTCTTAAAGAATACAGAATGCCATTTAACCACATACTGTAAATAAACTAGTCTTGGACACAGAAGAAACTGAATTCAAATTCCACTTCTATCATTTACTAACCATTTGACCAAATACTTGAGCTTTCCGTTGTTTGTAATTCTTAAAATTAGGAGGAGAGAGGAAGGGGAAGTAAAAAGAATTGAGATGTATTACATACACATACCAATACAAATCTTTTTTAAAGTTGGGAACACCATCTATTTTTTAAAGCTGTAGTAGTGATGAAGTCCTTAGATAAAATCCTTACACCACCATTTGGCATACAGTTAAATTTATAAACCAAACAGTGTTGTCTATTTTTACGGTTTCTAACAAGGAATGTAATAACATACATCATTAAATTTTGCTTTTATATAAAAATATAGGAGTTATTTTTACTGTTATCCATCCCCAGAGAAAGTGACTAAAACCTGTAACAATTTTCTCCTTTGCTTCTGTAGATTTCTTTTAAATTATTATTATTATTGTCTTCTCGCTGGCCACTTGACATTATTTTATGCCACTGTTACTATACTTTCTCTAACATCCTAGCCCTATTCAAAGAAAATTAAATGGGATGGCTAAAATTTACTAATAAGCACCTTCCCAGGAAACACAGATAACCATGTTTGCTAGAATTTATTTTAGAAAGAATTATAATGGCACGTTATCTGGATTTCCTTCTGGATTTTTCTTATGCAAAGAGAGTTCAGTTCTTTCTTCCAACTACCTACATTTTCAGTTTGTAAAAATAATTAACAACCTATAGTCTATAGAGTAATTTTTTTGGAAACAAGGTCTTGCTATTCAGTTGGGCTGGTTTTGAGCTCACTATATAGGCAGGTGATCCCTCTGCTTCAGCCTCTCAAGTGCTGGGATTACAGGCCTGCACCACAGTGCCTGGCTAGGACTTTATAAACTATAGCAATAAAGGATTACTTCCTGGGGGAACATCTAGAAGACATGTACTTCTATGATATAAAAAAAGTAATTATTTCACAAATTTATACATCACATCACATAGGAATTTAAGAAATAGAAAGAAGCTTGATATTATTTCATATTATATTCAAATAGTCTAGAATTTTTAATAGTTGTGCTACCTCAAGTCTTTTCTGAGTCAAGAGCAGTAAAAATAATATTAATTTAAAATTTTTACACCGACAAATTTTTGTCATTTTTCTTTTTGTTCCTACACTATTCTCACCATTCTCACAATTGCCTAACCATTCACCTTAGCATACAAACTTATTTGATACTTATGACCACAAAATTATCACCTTTAGCTCAAATCAAAGTTGTAAACAGGCTTGGAACATACCCTCTATTACCGGCAAACCGTAAATTTTCATTTATCTTATTGGAAGCATGAAGAAAAAAAGAATGTGCTTTAAGTTCTACTTTATTTTTTACAGTAGCTCTCTCACTATCGAAATGTAAAACCAATATGTCAAATCTTATGGAAATCACATACCAACTTTAAAAAGCATACTGGAAAACTGGCCAAAAGAGTACTTTTTAATAAATAAAAATTTTTAAAGAATTTGTTGATTTACAATCTGTTTTAACAATGACAAATGGACATACAAAATCAAATTTAAAGAATTTAGGGATAACAAAAAATGGATGCAGAGGCAATTTTAAATTGTAGTTAGGAACATCTGTATGCTTTGCAAATAAGAAACATCTTTCACAAGAAACAAGTACATAGTATGTAACAGTAAATTATCAAGTCAAAACAGGTTTCTAAATAGCATGTTTATTTAATAATACTATAAATTCCTAGGGTGTGACTACAGAAAGCAAATGCCCTGGTAGTAACAAACCTGGCCACTCTGAGAAGCCATTATTGCTCCAGCAAGTTGAAGCACAGTATTTTGTGTGCCTGTGCTGGGGATTGAAACTAGGGCCGCCCAAAGATTCTACTATCATTAGATTATACCCCTAAACCTGAAGCATGTTTTCTTTCTAGTCTCTTTTTTTTTAAATACATGGTCTTGCTACGTAGCCCAGTTGGCCTCAAATTCACAATCCCACCTCAGTCTCCTAAGTGCTGGAATTATAGGCATGTATTACCACTCTTCTTTTATTCTTTTTTGTTTCGTTGTTTTTTGTTTTTTGAGACAGGTCTCACTAACTACAATGTAGCCCAGGCTGGCCTCAAAGGTATGCACCACCATGCCCTGAATATTCATCTTAAGCGATGAAATCACACTTAAATTCAATGCCTACAATTCTTCCCATATTCCATAAATTTGTTCCTTGTCTGTTTCAGGACTAGGTCTCTTAGATGTGCTCTAGAAGTTAACAGGCATTTGCTCATTCTTATAGGGGGAGGTCTATTTTTTTTCTTTGCCCCCTCTTCTCTCTGCACAGCACATACTGCAATACAAAATGTACCTCCTTGAACCATGTAATGCATTATCCTTTATGTGTTCCCACCCCTATCTAGTAATATTCTCAGATTATCTCCTGCCAGCCCTCCAAGGACCCAATTTAGTCTCAGTCGTGGAAAGGTAGTTTTCAATTGTTTTCCTGTAAGAATACTGTAGATATGGGCAAAATACTCATAAATTGGTTGCTTGGCTTGATTCTGGCTCAGGATTATATTTCTATACCTTGTGTCTCTAAGCCCCAAACTTTCCAATAAGGCTTTAACCCTAGTCAGCAGTTTACAAGCCTTCTTTTCTTCCCTAACTATAGCTTTATACCTGATCTGGGCTCTCTGTGCCTCTTCTCAAGGGGAACATTTGGCACATATTTGTAATCCTAGTACTTGAGAGTCTGAAATAAGGAGTTCCAGTTTAGCCTCAAACAAAAGCAAACACAAAAACCAAGGGAAACATTTATTCCCTTATATAACACAAGAGTCAAATTTTACTGCCCAGCTTAGGACTTAACACAAGCTTATATAATCAATCTTTACATGCCACTTTGGATTTCTCAACTACAGAAATAATATTCTTCACTGTGAACTTCATTAATTTTCTCTTACAACATTTTATTCATAATTGTTGTGTCTGAAACAAAGAGTTTTCAAACCATGGACTTACTTGTACTTCTTTCAGGTACTTCTTACATGTACTTCTTTCCCTTCCTCTCCCAATTTTTGCTTATTGTATAAACATTAAAGGAAATATGGTATTCCAAATCCCATTAACTGTTGACTGTGCTCACTTTGGCAGCACATATACCATTAACTATTGACTTAACTAGTTTTTGCCCATTTATATATATAATTTTACAGTCATAATCATACTACCAATACAATTTGGTTCTCTTTTTTCCCTACATAGTTCAAATATTGTATAAAATTTTCAAAATTATCACACCCTATGGCTTATTCCTAAATGATATGTACTACAGCAAAAAAAAAAAAAAAAAAAGTTTAATTATTTTAGAAGGAAAAAACAACTACTTTCAATTAAAATGTGAATGGGGAGAAGGGCTATTCTTTATCACAATGTAACATAAATATATTCAGAGTCAGCAATAAATCACTCACAACATATATGTGAAGTTTATCTTAAAACATCTACATTTTTCTAAATACACTAAAATATTGCATCAAGACCTTTTTACAGGGAATTTAGCTCAGTGGTGCCACCATTTGCCTCACAAGCACAAGGTCCTGAATTCGATTCCCGGTACCAAAAAAAAAAAAAATTTTTTTTTTACTTCATTAAAACTTATACCAGGATTTTGCTCAGTGGTTCCAACACCTACTTTCAGCCTACTTTCCATGCACACGGTCCCAAGTTCAGTCCCCAGTACCAAAAACGTAAAGCTTATATCAAGCAATATCATCCATTATCTTACCATAAAAAACATCTTGCAGGGGCTAAGAATGTAGCTTAGTGGTAGAGTACTTGCTTAACATGCAGAAGGCAATGGGTTCAATTCCAACACCACAAAAAAATTTAAAAGTATGTAAAAATATCTTGCATATGTTATTGAAATTTTAAAAATTCCCATTTTGTGTTTGCTATTTACCACAGAAAATATATTTGAAAGATTTATTTCTATAAATCACAAACATTGTAAAAGGCAATGTCTTCACTTTTAAAACAAGATCATTCTTGAATGCCTGAAGATTAAATGTACTCTTGCAGTTAGAGTTTCAAAACCATAGAGGTAGTATTTACTGTAATTACCTTTTCTATTTCTCTTTGTGTAGCTCCTTCTTTTTTCAGACGCTCCTGTTCTACACACTTGGCATTGTAGTTTTCCTTGGATTTCTGGAGGGCCTGAGTTATACTCTGAATGGTTTGGACAGCTTCCAGAGTTCCTGCAACTTCTTCTTTAGTCTGTTTGGTATGAAATGATTCATCAAAATGACTGATGCATAAGCACTCAATATCTGACCAATCGATCCTTTAATAAGAAAAAATATATACCTTTTTGTGAGATTTTGCTTGTTCTTCTCCATACTTCTGAACTTCCTTTATTAATTCCTGTAATTTTCTAACAAGATCCAAGTGACAATTTGCTAATTTCTCTGTAGAAGTTTTGAAAACATCCCACACTGGTGCAAATGATCTAAGGGAAAAGAACATGGAAATCATTTACTGAAAGACAATGAAAACTTTAAAGTGAGCTAGGCACAATGTCCCACACCTGTGATTTCAGTACTCTGGGAGGCTGAGGCAGAAAGAGTGCAAGTTCCAGTCCTAAGACTCTGTTTCAAACTTTTTTTTAAAAAAAAAAAAAAGGGATGGGGAGGGCCGGAATTTAGCTCAGTGGTTCCAGCACCTGCCTTGCAAGCACAAGGACCCGAGTTCAATCCCTGGTACCGGGGGGGGGAAAAAGGGGAGGGATGGGGATGTAGTTTAGTGTAAAGGCCCTGGGTCAGTGGTGGTGAACCTCTGGCTCAAGTGCCCCAGTGGGCATGCAGAACCCTCTCTGAACATGAGCCAAGTCACCCCAGTAGCCAAGCATCAGAAAACAGATGTTTTTTTCCAATCTAAAACCTCAGTATTCAGGTTTAATTATAGTGTTGGCACTCCAATAAATAAGTGGGTTTTGGGTTAGTTTGGACACTTGATATCTAAAAAAGTTCTCCATTACTGCCCTAAATTCAATAGCTAGCACCACAAAAATTAATTAATTAATTGATTAAATGACTTAACTTGGTTGTCGTTTTTGTTTGTTGTTCCATGATAAATTATTAGAAATTTTCTGGATCATAGGTACATAAAAACAGATAAATTTGATGTCACAAGCCTCCACAGCCATTTTTAATTGTATCATATTATTTTGAGTTGATTTTGGTTAGACTTGTATCAGACACCTATCACTGACTACTGTTAAAAACTAACTCTATTATCAAAGTCCAAATTAAAGCTATTTAGTACTCTAATTAAGATGCTTTGAGGGCCGGGGATTTACCTTAGCGTTTCAGTGGCTTGCCTCGCAAGCACAAGGACCGGAGTTCAATCCCCGGTACCAAAAAAAAAAAGATGCTTTGTTAAAAGTAAAGTTTCTTGGGCCGGGGATTTAGCTCAGTGGTTCCGTGGCCTGATTCACAAGCACAAGGTCCTGAGTTCAATCCCAGGTAAAAAAAAAAAATGTAAATTTTCTCAGGGTCAAGGATTTAGCTCAGTGTGTAACACTGATGTAAGAACTACTTTACAGCAGGTACCTGAAACTTTTGTTTGATCATTATAATTTTACCTACCTATCTATGTACTTCAACAACATATAAAAGTCTCCTTTCTACTACTGGGTACAAGATGTGTCATAGACTTTTTTGCCACTTCTCCCCAATATTAAGGATATAAAATGTTCAGCAGGCTCATGTGCATTCAAGAATTGCTACATTATCATATTTTGGATAATACTTTGGTTGTTAATGGTTAGTTTAAATCAATTTAGTGAGTGGGAATGACCTAAGGGTAATTCATGCTTTGCTCAAGTACTGTACTTGCTTTGAGGTAATCTCTACAACAAATCTTCTAAGACAAAACAAATAGCAGCAATCATCACTAAGGGAGCAGAGAATGTGATTACTATATTTTAATACATATTCTGTGCCAATTATTACATTTCTTAACTATTAGAAAAGTTAACTGTCAGCAATCATCATATGCAATAATAAAAAAGTTCAAAGAGGTTAATCACAATCCTTAGCTTAAGACAATTTCGATTAAATCTCATTACATATTTTAAAATCTAATCAGTGTTTAGCTGGAAAATTTCAAGAGAAAAAGATATTTGAAGAGGATCCACTCTCTAAAGCACCAAATACATACTTTACCTCATGTAAATCTGACAAATACTAGTACAGATTTCACAAAGCAGGTAGGACAAACTATTCCTTTTACTTTATGAAAGGATTCTTTCATAAAATCTATTTTTTAAAAATAGTATTAGACTTTTAAGTTTTATACTCCCAACTTTTTTCAGGTCAAGTAATATACTGAAAAATTCAAAATATATTTAAATGCAACCAAACATAAAATTTGATTTCCTGCCAAAATATGTAACAGTAAACCAAAACAATATTTAAAATGTCTATGATCTTGAATGATGACACTAACATACACTCATACAAAATACCACTAATTTTTTAGGAAAAGCACACATTCAAAAGATATGAATGGTGAAGGCTGAGCATATAGATCAGTGGCACCTCTCCTGCCTTGCAAGCACAAAGCCCTGAATTCCATCCCCAGTACTGAAAAGAAAAGAAAGAAAAAAACTTGGAAAAACAAAAGACATTTCCTAACTCTGTTAGGAAATACTTGAAGTCAACCCACACTTCCTCATCCAACCGCATGGAAATTAAGAATAAAGTATAATTTTATATACTAAAATCAATCTGCTAAAGCTAGCTTTTGTTACTCCAGTTACATTTAGCTCTACTGTGATCAGTAAGGAAGAAATTATGTTTTACAAAAGGGTTATCAACATAGGGCCTCTGAAAATAGAAAGATATCAGAAAAGCGAGATTAGAAATGAAAAAAAGGAAGAATAAAATTGTATCAAAGGGAGGATTGGAAGGAAGAAATTGGGAGGACAAATGAGGAAAAAAAAAACCAAAGAGTTATAAGCCACCAATCTTCACTCTTCCACGTGAAACAGGCAGCAGCTCCCCAGCCTTCAGGGCCACAGTACACAAAGTTGCAAGAGGGCTTTTAAACTTTGTGAGCTGCTGGTACATACTCCGACAGGGTCCCTGCACTGAGGACAAACTAACTGCGCCTTGTCTAACCACTTCTTGTCCAAGCCACCAAGTAGGAAGACTTTGATTTAAACTTATGCAACCAACACTAAAGAATACTTATATAAAATAATCACGCTTTTTTTTAAAAAATCAGACTCAGGGCCGGGGATTTAGCTCAGCGGTTCTGTGGCCTGACTTGCAAGCGCAAGGACCCGAGGTGAATCCCAGTTACCAAAAAAAAAAATCAGACTCATCTGTGAATCTGGTAATTTTTACTGACCCTCTTCATTGCAAATGTAAACATCTTTTAAAAATTTAGATGAAATTTTAGGGGATTCATAAATTCATCAGAACCCTAGACATAAAGAAATCTTTTACTATGACTGAAAAAATCTTATGACTAATTATTTCAAAATCTTAGTTAAAATTATAACCTCATCTCAATTTTAGATAATTAAATAACTATTCCTACCACAGTAGTTTTGATTCAGATTATATAATTATTCTTTCCACAGCTGTTATGGCTATGAACAAAGTTCCATTTTAAATACAGTCCTATCAATTTTCATTTTTTAAAAAAATACATTTCTTCAATACAGATTTTGAAAGATAATTTAATGAGTCAATAAAATCATAGGTGACATTTAATGGATTTTAACTATGTTAGTGAAATTTATCTTAAGTTTTTAAAGTTCACTGTTAAGCTACAACAGAATTTAAACTTACAGGAAATGAATTTGTATAAACATAATCTTGAATTTACACTAATGAATGATCATGTACAAAAAAATGCTTCATCTTTCAGCAACTTCAATTAGTTTGTACCAAGTCAAGAAATATATTCATATTAAAATAGACACCTTTTAAATAAGTACATAATACAATTATGTACGCATATTGATATTTCAACCAATGATGAACCTCAGATACAACACGTATTGCAACTTGTATCACCAGTCCCATAAACATCACTTAGTGATATTGTAGCTGTCTTAGACTGTGTAAGTATATCCTATACTGTTTGCACAATATCAAAATCAGCTAACTAAACATTTCTCATAGCATATCACTACTGTTAAGTAATATACAACTGTGTAAAACAGTATATCACTATATTTATAAACTATTATATTTCTGATAGAAACTTAACATATTCAAGAACTGTCTAAAAGAACATGGAAAAAAAGGAAGAAATTAACTTACCCAAGTTGTGAATAATTGCTCGCAGATTTTGCTAGTTTTGTCATTGACCTGGAATATGCCTCTTCTATTGTTGCTCTGTTGAATCAAATTTCCACATTTTAGTATCACTTATTTATGACCAAAAGCATAGCAAAGTTATCAAAATACAACTAAAAATGCAAAAACAAAAATATACTTCAAACTACATATTAAAAAGTCAGTAGATACAGTCATGAATTCGTGGCCTATGCTGGGGATTGAACTCCAGACCTTGTGCTTTCAAGGCAGGCGGTGGAACCACTGAGCTAAATCCCCGGCCCTGTGCATTTACTTTTAAAAACTAGTCTGGTACAGAACCTATATACTTTACACCATAAAAATTCTTAATGAAGTCACTACAATTTTTATCTTTAGTATCAATGTGTATATGAACAGGAAGTACAAGACTATTGATTCTTGTATTCTCCCTCCTCTCTGTATATTGATTCACTGATAAGTTATTTGTATTTAATCCTTCTTTGGTATACTTAACACTTTATTCACCTTTAACATTATAATGCATATTCTACAGAAGACTAATAATAATCATTTACATAAAACTAAATATGAATCATTAGTAAGTCTGAGGTCCTAAACTTCAGGGGTCCACTTATTTTGTAACTAGGTCTAAAATTTCATTCAAGTATTTCATACTAAAAAACTTATTTTAGGCTAAAAAAACAAAAAACAAAAACAAGGTCACTAGATATGGAATTTAAAAGCCACAAATTATCCCATAGACACATGACCTTCAAATGTTTAGTTTTACCTTTCTCATAAGTACTTTAGTCCTTCTAAGTATGTGCTACCTTTAATAGAATATCTTATATCCACCAATGTCCTTTTATGTTTACTTTGACAGGTTTAACTTTAAACTTCTAATGCCAAATCTAAATCTCCATGCTTTTGCAGGATAACATCTGTTCACTATGTACCTGCCGCAAGCATAACTAAGATATATGAATCACTTCAAACCCAGAATATCCAAACTCAGCTCATCTCCAAACTATTTCCAATCTAACTCCCACAAAAAGAAGCTCTTTAACAAAAAATATTAATAGTACTGGGCCTGGAGGTGCACATGGACAATCCTAGCACACGGGAGGCTGAAGCAGGAGAATCATCACAAGTTCGAGGCTAAGCGTAGACTATACACAGCTGAGTTTGAGGCCAGCCCAAACTACAAAAAAAAAAAAAAAAAAAGTAACTGCTTATCACTGCTATCACTGCATTACTTTGTTCTACTTTTAAAATAATAGTCTATTACAAAAGTAATATATTGAGCACCTTGTGCAAAAGTACAGAAATAAATATTATTCCACTGGATAAGTTTGACAGCAAGAAAATGCATTTAAATTTCCAGTAATAGAGAATATGAGTGCATCAAAACCACCTACTGAGGAAAAACTAGAATATCAGAATGATGGAGATAAATGAAAAGCATAAAAAACCTAATGAGGGCTGGAGATTTAGCTCATTGGTGCCACTGCCTGCCTTGCAAGCACAAGGTCTTGAGTTTGATCCCTGGTACCAAAAGAGAACACCTAATGAGGTAGTTAAGAATCAGTAGGTCAAACTCCAAAAGAAGGGTATCCCAAGAAGCGAGTCAAGAATAGGAGCAGCTAGAAGAGTCAGTTGAAAAGTTGAGAAGTGGAGCAGAGCATTTCACAACCTCATGAGCAGGAAGAAAACCTTTCACTTTGACGGGAACTCCCCCCATCAAAAGTGGAACACCATACAAAGATGGAGGTATTGTAAGTAGACAAGCACTCAGAGGAACTGCAAACCAGATCTTTTCAATCCCTGATGCTGGATCTCACAGATATCTTAATTTACATTCATAAAATCACCAGACACATAAGGAAATAAGAGAACATGAACAAAAAAAATTAGCAAGAACAAATTAGCAGAGTTAGAAATTTTAAGGTTTAGCTTTTTTTTTTTTCCTCTCTCACTGAGTTTATTGGTACATTTTAGGCATACAGTACAGTTTCATTTATCATTGGGATCTTGTACCTTTACATGACAGGTCTTGGTTCTCATTTTTTTCCCCTTCTCCCTGTCCTCCCTTCACCCTCTCCTCCCCTCCCCATTTACAAACACTTTATTTCCATTTTATTATTTTCTCATATTTTTTATTTTCCCTTATTACCTTTTCCCTACCCTTCCAATTTTCCCTACACCTTTAGCCTTTTTCTTTCTATTTCACATTGTCAGTTATATCATGAGGATCTTATGTACCATTATAGTTTTTCACACCAAAGAAACTATTTGGTATTTACACGTGTGACTTATTTATTTCACTTAGGCGTATATCCTCAATATGTATCCATTTTCCTATGAATGACTCTAATTTCTCATTCTTTATGGCTGAGTAGTATTCCATTTTATAGAAAAACCACATCTTCTTTTTCTAGTCTCCAACTGAGGGGTAATTAGGCTATTTCCAAGTTATAGCTATTACAAACTGTGCTGCTACAAACATGGGTGGGCATACATCACTGTGATATCATTCTTTTAATTCTTTTGGAAAGATACCCAGCAGAGGGATGGCTGGGTCAAATGGAACCTATAGTCCTAGCTCTTTGAGGTATCTCCATATTGATTTCTACAGTGGTTGCACCAGTCTGCACTCCCACCAACGATGGAGAAGGGTTCTTTTCTTCCCACAACCCTGCCAACATTTGTTATTGGTTTATTTCTTGATAGCAGCCATTCTTTTGTGGGGTGAGGTGGAATCTCAGTGTTGTTTTTATCTGCATCTCTTGAATGACCAGTGATGTGGAAATTTTTTTCATATATTTACTTGCTGCTTTTACTTCTTTGTCTGAGAAAAATGTCTGTTCATTTCAGATGCCCATTTTTGAATAGGGACTTTATATTTGGGGGCTGACTGTTTTGAGTTCTTTATATATTCTAGATAAGAGTCCTTTGACTGAGGAGCAACTGGTAAAAATATTTTCCGACATTGTAGGTTGTCTTTCAGTTCTGTTGATGGTTTCTTTTGCAGTGCAGAAGCTTTTTAATAAGATAAGATCCCAGTTGTTGATTCTTTCTGCTAGTTCCCATGCTACGGAGGATTTGTTCATAAAGTCTTTTCCTATGCCAATGTCTTCAAGAGTTCTTCCTAACTTATCTTTCAGAACAGGCAACATAATAATGCAAATCACAATAATGAAGAGCAAAGTTGTAAAACTTACTGGATTTGACTTCAAGATTTACCATAAAGCAACAATAAATCATAACAATACACTGTGGGCAAAAAAAAAAAAATAGACAAATTGGTCACGGAACGGAACATAGAGCCCTGAAATAGAGTCACATAAATACAGTACTGACCTTTGACAAAGGAAAAAATTTAATATGATAAAGATAGTCTTCTCAACAAATGGTCCTAGAACAACTAAATATTCACATACAAAACAGTAGGTCTAGCATAGACTTTACATCCTTCATAAAAATTAACTCAAAATGGATGGTAGACCTAAGTATAAACATAAAACTACAAAATTCCTAAAGATATAATAGAAAACCTAAATGACTGTAAGTACGGTGATAGATACACCAAAGGCATATCCAAGAAAGAAATGGATAAACTGAATGTAACTAAAATTAAAAACTGCTTTGTCTTTTTTTTTGGTACCAGGGATTGAACTCAGGTCCTTGCACTTATGAGGCAGATGGTGGAACCACTGAGCTAAATCCTCCGTCCCTAAAAACTGCTTTGTGAAGAGAATGAAAAAAAAGGTCAGATCGAAAAAATAATTGCAAAAAAGACACATATGATAAAAGACTGTTAACCAAAATGTAAAAAATTCCTCACAGCCAAAAGTAAGAACAGTAACAATTCAATCAGGAAATGAGCCAAAAAATTTAACAAAAACCAAAGCGAAGAAGATATACAGTTGGCAAGTAAGCAAGCAAAAAGCTGCTCCACATCACATGTCATCAAGAAAATGCAAATTATAACACTAGTCAGAACACCACCTCACAACTACTAGAATGGCCAAATCTGAAACACTGACATTACCAAATGTTAAACAAGGATGCAGAGGAAGAGGAACTCTCATTCACTGCTTACAATAATACAAAGTACTACAACCACTTTGGAAGGCAGTTTGGTGCCTTCTTTCTATACAACTTAGCAGTAAAACTCCATATTTATGCCAAAAAGTTTAAAACTTGTAAACGCACAAAAAAAACTACACACAAATACTCGTACCAGGCTTATTCATAATGGTCAAGACTTGGAAGAATCTAAATGTCCTTATTGGTTGAATGAATAGATAAGGCCTCGATTCTGGGCAAAGAAAGAAGTCCTGGACTTCTCATGATTGGCATAAACAGAGCTAAAAGATATAATGACATGAAGGTCTGCAAGCAGTGATGGGGGTATGAGAAGACAAAAAGTTAGGGTTCATGCCAAGAGATGTAGAGTACTGGGGCCTCTCCTTTATTCCTGCCATGTAGGCACTAAAGGGACAGCTTTACCAAGAACATGAAGAGCTTTTACACTCCCTCTCAACTCCAGGAGAGATGGAAAAATCAGAAGATGGGTCTTAGGTTATATAATGCTTATTTCCCAATTCCTACCAGTCTATAAACTCCAGAAAGGGAAAAGTTGTGTCTTTACCAGTACACGTTCCCAGAATCCAAATAAATGCCTGTTGTATATATATGTACATGAATAAATGAATACATGGAATATTATATTACAAGGCAAAGAATATATTGTCAAGGTAAAGATTTTGTGTTCATACAAAAAGTTATACAAGTATGGCTAGTCATAAAATAACTTTAAGTAGTATATAGTAGCTTTGAGTTTTGATTTTGAATCATATTATAGCAACTTGCAGTCTTCAAGTTGACATATTCTAAAAGTCTTAAAGACAATCACATTTTATAAATTTACAAGATTTCAAAATGTATACTTAAGGCTTTCTAATAAAAATTTTGATAACATAAACTATGAGTTCAGAAAACTCTGTGTGTGTGTGTGTGTGTGTGTGTGTGTGTGTGTGTGTGGTATTGTGAACCAAACCCAGAGGTGCTCTACCATTGAGGTATATTCTCAGTCTTTTTTATTTTGAAACAAGGGCTTGCTGAATTACCCAGGCAGGACTTGAACTTTCAATTATCCTGGCTCAGCCTCCTCAGTGCTACGATTATAGACATGTACCACATATCTAGTTCAGAAATCAACCTTCACAAATTATGTCAACATGTTTGTTTAAAGAAACAGTAATATTTTATCCTATAGAGTTTCTTAATTTTTCCTGCATCATTCTGCTAACACATACAATGAAAAATAGGTAAATAATACTGTTGATCAGTAACTTGCAAGCCGGCAAGTGGTTTTACAATACCACTTTGAGCCATTATTACAGTACTCATGTGCACAGATGATTTAAAAAAAAAATACTTTAATATATAATTATAGAATGCCTTTTAAAAGTCCTGTTTATTCCAAATCCAACTATTTCAATTTATTTATAGTCTAAGATTTTTAATAATAAACTGTTAGACAAATTACTTATAAAAATTACATACCTTTCTCTTACAAAATCCGCTAGTTCTTTTATCGATATCTGTCCATGTTTCATATTATGGTAGAGAACATCAAAACCACTATTTTTTTCTCCCTAAAATTCAAACAAAAACAGATTACAATGATGTAAAAATACAAAAACCTTATAATAATTACTATTCAAAATTTATGCTCTGGTAAGCTGTTTTTCCTTAACCACTGTTATTTGTCCTATGTTTTTAAACTGTACCAAAACAATTCTATATGCTTGAGACAACACGTGTGTGTATATGTATATGTATATAAATATAATATGCACATATATATATATATGTGTGTATATACATATGTGTAATATGCACATATTCCAATAAGGGTACTATTAATAGAATTAAGTCTGAAATTTTAAAGAATATATAAAATGTATGATAACTTAGAAAATATAAATAGGGACCTGTTAAAACTCATAATGAAATCCAACTTAAATGCCTTTATTGAATATTAAGCAATTCCGGATTATTTAATTCAGTTTACACTTTGCAATAACTAAATCTTGATTTTTGAGTTAAGACAGAACACTACTCATCATATAAGCACTGAACAACACAAAACACTTTATACATTCCTATTTTAAGCCTTTCAGTAAATTTGAAAGGTAAGATGATTTTAAGGAAAGAGAAGAAAAAAGCTAGTTATTGCTTATTCAATCAATGAGAAATTAATAAAATCAGATCACATATAATCCCAGAAAATCTTTGCTATTTAATCCTACAAATCTTAAATCAGTAAATCATAACAAAATAGAGATGTCAATTTAATCAAGTAAAAGGCCATTAAGAATTAAGTTTAACAACTCTCTATATGGTTTAGTTTTTACTTTAGTGAAATAATGAACTAAATGTATTTGTCAGAAAGAAAATACCACAAGCAAATTTTATACAATCTTAATTATAATTTTTCAACAGGTCACCAAAAACAAACACAGGAAATTCCCATTATGTTGGTGCCTAATAAACTCATCAGCTTGTTAACATGCAAGTACTATACTTTGCCACATACGACAAATGAAAATGACATATTTGTAATGAGACAATAGAAACAGTACCATCGGAACATCCATTCCTACTTATCCTCAAGAATATAAAATCATAGTCTCTTATGAATCCAAACATTTCCACTGAGCTTCTGAAAAAATTTGTTGTCTCATTTTAGTTTTTTTTTAATGATGAGATTTTTTAAACAAATTTATTCCAAAATATTCTTTGAGATAACCACTATCACTCATGTAACAGGCAGAATTATGAATAAAATTATAGACAAAAAATCAAACTAGCAATTCTCTTACCTCAGCCAAGTACTGGGATTACACACCACTCAGCTCTGCATTTGCACACAATTTTAAGAAGTCTGGTTACCTGGGTGCCCAACATGCATTATGAACATTTAAAGGGTGTGTTGGAGGGTGTAGCTCAATAGTAGAGTATGAATCTAGAAAGTGTGAGAACCTGGGTGCAATTTCAAGGACCACCAAAAAAAAAAAAAGAAGGGCAAATTAGAAGAGGGGTGAAGTGAAGTGCTATTACAAACAAGCACAGAGAGTATTAGAAGAAAGCATATTTACTAGGCTCCCAAAGGAAAGAACAGACTTTTTAAAAAGACAAAATCTTAAAAAAAAAGACAAAAAAAAAAACCAAAAGCAACAAGATCCTGAGTATTTATAATACTATAAATATTAAATAATCAAGAAAAGGTTGAGCTGGAGTTTGGCTCAGTAGTACATCATTTGCCTACCATGTATGAGGCCCTGGGGTTCAATCTCTAGCACCACAAAAATTAAAAACAGAAAAAAGGGTTAAAGTACAGTCTGAATTTTTCTTCTAATTAAGAAGCCCTTGAAAAAGTATGCTATTTGTGAAATTCAGATATCCAAATAACATATTATTTAGAAATTCCTTGAAGCAATGAGGTTCATTCATATACTATAAAATATAAATTAATATAGTAACAGTAATACACCTTAGGAAACAGTACTAAATACTCCAACCCGCCCATCTTCACTGGAAAAGAAAAGAAAAACTCATTCTAGGGATTGTGATGCAGAAGGCAGCTCCCAAGGAGGCACAAAGAACTTAACATAAAAACCCTGATATGATCTACATATCCATTTGTCATTGCTTTTTATTTGTAAATTCATTAATTTACTTAGGTTTAAAAAAATACAATGAGAATTTAGGCATAATTTTCTTTAATATAATTTCACAACACTAATAACAAACACGGATCACAAACTTTTTCTTTGACATTTCCTAAAAATTTAATTCAAATGGAGATAAAATATATGTGCAAACATGTACCTTAACATGATACATGCTTACCTATATATACCTTAAAAAAAAACTTCAAAGAACCTAGATTTTATTCACTATGTAAAAAACTTACTGTACAGCCTTGATAAGTGATGACAATATATTAAATATATACATACACTTTATTTGCAAACTCATAACCAAGTGGGTTGATTTTAACAGTCACTCGTTTGTTTGTTTGAGACAGGGTCTCACTATGTAGTTGAGACTGACCTAGAACTCACTATATAGCCCAGGCTGGTCTTGAATTCACAGCGATCCTCCTGCCTCAGCCTCCCAAGTGCTGGGATTACAGGCGTGCGCCACCACACCCGGCTAAGAGTCATTCACTAGTAACAAGCATTTTCAACTGGCTTATTCATTAACCTGATCAACATTTGTGAGTTAAAAAAATATATATGTCCACAAAAAAATGTATGTTTACAGCCAACATTATTCATAATAGTCAAAAAGAGACTATTTATACCCATGAACTCATGAACAGATTAAAAAATGTGATATATCTATTTGATGTAATACTGAGCCATAAAAAGGAATGAAGTATCAGTACTTTCCTCAACATTGACGAACTTCAAAAACGGTACACTAACGAAAGATGAGATCATAAAAGAACACATACTATTACATTAAATTTTATTTACACTACAGAAAAGGGTACAAAAAGTAGGTAAATAAGTCGTCTGGAGACAGAAGAGGTGAGGAAGGAAGTGAATGATAAATGGATAGAGATGTTTCTTTTTGAGGTGATGAATGGTCTAAAATTATTTGTGATCATGGCTCCAATACCTGCCAAGTATTACCGAAAACTAATGAATCTGTATACTTTTTTTATGGGAGTGAGGGTGCTAGGGTTCAAACCAAGGATCTTGAACATGCTAGGCAACTGCTCTGCCATTGAGCTACACTTCCAGCCCGAACTATACACTTCAAATAAATGAATTACATGGCATATAAAATATAAATGTTTCATATAAAATTCTTAATATATTCCCTTTCCTTAGTCCCAGTGTTAGGTAGTTAACAAAATGAGTAGAGCTATAGTTACAGAAGATAAGCTTATGCTTCTTAAATTCTTACAGAGAAATTTTCTTATTAAATGACAAAACTGATATATTAATACTATTTCTGGTCCACAGAAGACAATTACCACAAAAGCTTGCTCTCTGAGGAGATCTGTGATCTACTAATCTCAAAGCACGTTACAAAGAGGCAGTATTCTCATTTAATGTCAAATTACTATAACCTGGGGCAAATCAAATGTTATTATAACCAATACAAACAAGTAATGAAAGTCCTGTCTTTGTAAAATGGATTGTAAAGAGTATGCAGTGAGGGCCAGGTTCAATCCTCTCCAGCAATGCAAAAACAAAAAAATAAAATTTTTATAAATTAATTCCAAGTATGAGTAGGAAAAAAAATTATCATCTTTGGAATAAATAGCCCAGAAGCATAAATTCTTTAAAACACACAAATTGAACCAAGCATGGTGGCACACACCTGTAATCCCAGCACTTGAGAGGCTGAGGCAAAAGGATGTCCTGACTTTGAAGCCAGTTTGGGCTCCACAGTGAGTTCAAAGCCAGCCTGAACTACAAAGTGAGACCTTGTCTCAAAGAAACAAAACAAACAAATAAAAAAAACTCCACAAATTCCCAGTACCTACTGTTTCCTCTTCTTGCTGTAATTAAGATGACTGCATTTAAAAGTCTGATGTGTGTTAGTCCAGACTCTTTTTTGCAAACAGTAACTATTTTTTTCTTTCAGTACCAGAGATTGAACCCAGGGCCTCCTCAATGAGCTACATTCCCAGCCATTTTTTATTTTTTATTTTGAGAAAGTGTGTTGCTAAATTGCTGTGCTCAAACTTGCTCTGCTCAGGCTGTGCTCAAACTTGCTATCCTCCTGCTTCAGCCTTCAGAAGCTGGGATTGTAGGTGTGTACCATCAAATGTTACTTTTTAATATGAAAATGACATATCGTGCATCCTGTTTTGCACTTAAATTATCAACTAAACTCCAGCTTAAAAGATAACTAATTTAGAAGCAAGGACAACAAGTCATTGAAAATGTTCAGTTTTTTGTAGTCTAATACAGAGATTACAAATAAGGCATCCTTGAAATTTCTAATATAAAAATTTAAATAAGCTGGAGATTTAGCTCAGTGGTTCTGCTGCCTGCTTCACAAGCACAAGGTCCTGAATTTATCCTGGGTATTAAAAATAAAAAATAAACTAAAACTAAAAATAAAATTTTAAATTTAAATAAGTGAGTAAGCCTATTTCTGAAGCCAAAAGGCACTTTTTCTTTATAATTTTACAACTTTATATTTTAAAATACATATTATATTTGCACTTGAATTAAAAAACAACAGTTTGAAAGCTTCTTTAATGAATTTGTAGGGCAGTTAGAATTTAGTATTTAGGGTTAAAAAAACTTCAGAAATCAAAATTTTATCCTTTTCAATATTAATGTTCTAAAATCCTCCCTCTGAATTGAACTTGCAAAGTAAATCACTATCAACTTTTCACTTTCAAATCTCTCCTAAAATTTAGGCAAAAATACAAAACAAAACACCCCTCCCCAAAACTCCAAAAGCCTCACGATAAAATTTAGCACAATAAAGCAGGGCGTGATGGGGCATGCCTGAAATCCCAGCACTCAGGAGGCTGAGGCAGGAGGATCACTGTGAGTTCGAGACCAGCCTGGGCTACATAGTGAGTTCCAGATCAGTCTCAACTACATAGTGAGAC